CAGAGTGGCCAGCCCCACCACGCAGAGCCAAACCAGGAAAAGACTCAGCTCATAAGGGACTAATAGCCAGAAGTAACTCTTTTTTTTTTTTTTAATGTTTATTGATTTTGTGAGAGAGAGAGAGAGAGAGCACATGTGCCAGCAGGGGAGGGGCAGAAAGAGGGGGAAAGAGAGAGAGAATCCCAGGCAGGCTCTGTACTGTTAGCACAGAGCCCGAGGTGGGGCTTGAACTCACAAACCATGAGATCATGACCTGAGCCGAAGTCAAGAGTTGGACGCTTAACCTACTGAGCCACCCAGGCACCCCGGCCAGCAGCAACTCTGACTGAATGTTTTCATTGTCGGAAGCTGCACCCAGAAAGGTACTGCTTCCCTAGCAACCTGGAAATACACAGGAGCAGAGAGAGACATAGAAATGCCTCTTAGCATATTAGGGATGTCGCCCTTTTCCACCACATTTTATTACTTTAAGTTCCTCGCTCCATTTTGTAAAATTAGGGGGTGGTGGTGGGGTGGGACTGGCAGCAGAGAGAGATAATAAAGAAAGCTAAATTCCCAGCTGTAATATTTGAACTTGGAAGTAGCTAGGATACCATATTTGATTTCAGCTTAAGTAAGTCTCTAAGAAGACCTAACCTTGCCATACTCTGGAATGAGACAAGTGGATAATTAAACACTGCCTCTGGCATCCTCCGAAGTACATACCGTTAGCATATTCCTGATGACACAACTTCTAGCTCTTTCATTTGTCTTTGTCTTGTTTTCATTCATTCTGAATATGATTTAAAATTAAAAAAAAAAACCCTTGGACTAAAGCTTCATGTAGTTGGTCTCAGCCCAAGATTGCAATAGTTGAGAAGTTGGCTTGATTATTTTTACACGTTCCGCTTTGAAAAGTACCTATTTTATTTATTTTGAGAGAGAGAGTGAGAGAGAGAGAGGAGGGGAGGTGCAGAGAGAGGAAGAGAGAGAATCCCAAGCAGGCTACAGGCAGTCACCGCAGAGCTCGACGCAGGGGTCAAACCCACGAACCTCAAGATGATGATCTGAGCCAAAATCAGAGTCAGACACTCAACTGCCTGAGTCACCCGAGCACCCCCAAAAAAGTACCTATTAAATATGTATATTCTAAAGAAGTATCTAATACATCCTCAGAGTGTACTGGATTAAAATACCCTTTGTGGTTGTCCTCATTCGTTTCTCATCTCTTTTCGGTCACTGAAATTCGCCTCATTTTCAATTTGTGTCATTCCCAAAGCAAAGCCATTTTGATTGTTATCTTTGGCAGGACCTCCTCATATTCTCTTCTCCTCTTGTAAAATTTTCTTTAACCATAATTTGCTACAGGACAAGATTTAAAAAAAAAAAAAAACCCAAAAACTACTGTGGTGATGCAATTAACTCATTTTCAAGACAAAAATACTTCTGACGGCCAATTTCCATTGCCTAGCTCTTGCTAAGCAAGCCCAGATCCCTTATTCCTGCACAAGGCTATAAAAAGTAAAGTTACGTAGAAATCAAAAGGGAGTCTTGGGAGATCAGCCGGGTAGGCGCTTACCAAGCACTAGTCCATCTCTTGGAAACTCCCATCTAGAGTCATAAGGCAGCTGCATCGGGTCCACGTAAATATATTCATGTCCATCAGGGCTGATCGATTCAATGACCCTCCAACGAATTTCATACCTCGGTTTCTGTAAATGACCGGGACAACTAGCTGGTGAATTACCAAAGTCCAAAGGCACCAAAGCTTAACTACAGCAAGGCGACCACACACAGTAGGACCGAGCGACACTTTCGTTCAACACGTAACGACTGAGCTCCTTCTCTGTGCCCAGCACTGAACGAGATTGCGCTTCTCCTTGTTCGTATCTTTCGTTCTCTGAAGAAAATATCTACCTGTTTCCAAATGACAACCAGGACAATGAGGGAGATGATCACAATCACCAGCAGGACCAGGACTGCAGCCGCCACTGTGAGTTCAGAACGCAGCGCTGCAGGAGAAAGAGGCATGGTGAAGAATTCGCACAAATGTGCCAGAGCGCAGGAAGGCGAGGGGGCGTGTGCCTGGGCCGGAACTCTCACACCGCTGGTGGAAAAGCAGGAGGCTGCTTGGCTTATTTTAGGGACGGGCGATAGCATCTCTCCATCACCTACACTCATGCAACCAGTCCAGTCTCTTCCCTTAGCAGAGAAAGGGACAAAATTCAATCAACTCTGTGAAAGTGCACAAAACTGCGCAAAATGCCATACTTCCTCCAAGGGTGCCGCAGCATTAACATTCTAGACAGAATGTGAACTGGGGATATAAAGACTGACAAATGACACTGAACGCTGTGTAAGTTCAGTTTATTTTGAAAGGCTGCAGTGTGTTTCTATCACTTCTGGCTTCATTATTATTATTATTATTATTTTTAAGAATTCAACCTGTCTCAAGGGTTGTAAGGAGCAACAAGGCAGAAGATCCTCCTTCCCCCTCACCACCCCTCCCCTCCCCCCCTCAGACTAAAGAGACTGAGCAGCTATCCTGTTAGACAAGCACAATGCCTAGGATGCTTCTGCGAGATGCAGTTTGGGGTCAAAATCTGAAAGAAAAGGGCTCCCATATGGATGCCCAGAGAAGGCCCTTTGAGAGCATTCGGAGCTGAATTTCTGCCTTGGGGCCTTCATTCCTTTAGAACCCCATCTGGGACTCGAAGTTCTGGCTGAGGGAGGAAGGGCTGGGCTGACGTCTAAGAGCAACTCACTGGGAGCCACCAGCTTCAGCTCTCGGTTCTCGGCTCCAAGAAGATTCTTGGCCAGGCATCGAACAGCGATGGTCTCCTCCACTCTGGTGAACGTCACTCGGCCCTCCACAGTACTCCTGTCCCGGCGGTGGACTTCCGTGATGATGTTCGAGATGTTGTTCGCCAAAACTGTCCATGAAGTTTCGTTATTACATCTGGAGAGAAAGAGGACATCAGTGTAGAGCCAATTATCGGGATAATGGAGGTGACTGAAGCATTGAGACTCCTCTAAGGTGGCAAGCAGTTCTGACCTTGCCTACATTTGGGGGTGCTACAGGTTGACTTTCTCATTTTATGCACATAATAACGCTAAAACTTGTTTGCACACGCCCAAGAGAGAATAACCTATAGGTGGATAAATGAAAGGTAACTGTTGAAACGTACACATAGGTCAACCTACAAGTTAACTAACTTGGATTTAAATTAAAAAAAAAAAAAAAAAGAATAGGGGCACCTGGGTGGCTCAGTCGGTTAAGCATCCGATTTCGGCTCAGGTCATAGTCTCACAGTTCGTGAGTTCCAGCCCCGCATTGGGCTCCTGTGCTGACAGCATGGAGCCTGGAGCCTGTTCCAGATCCTCTGTCTCCCTCTCTCTCTGCCCCTCCCTGGCGCACTCACTCCCTCTCTGTCCTTTCTCTCTCTCTCAAAAATAAAATAAAAGCATTTAAAAAAAATAATTAAAAAAAAAAGTTGCCTGTTAGGAAGTACACGAGGTAGAAATAAGTTCAATCAGATATAACTACCAATCCCAAGTCTTGACCCCATGAGCAAACGGAACAGTTCCACCTCAAGAATGTTTAGGGGCACCTCGGTGGCTCAGTCGGGTGAGCGTCCAACTCTTGATTTAGGCTCAGGTTATGATCTCATGGTTTGTGGGATGGAGTCCTGAGTTGGGCCCTGAGCTGACAGCGTAGAGCTTGCTTTGGATTCTCTCCCTCTCTCTCTGCCCCTCTCCTCCACTCACTCTCGCAAATAAATAAATTAATTTGAAAAAAATGTTTAACTATCCCCATTTTCCACCCCTTGAAAAAGCCTGGCTCCGTCCTTTTCTCTCCACTTGCACTGTCAACAGCCCGTAAGATGTCACAAGGTTTGGAGTGATCCCTGGCTGAGTTACAAGACCTAGATTCCAGCTTTCGTCAAAATCTAAGTCCAGGCTCTCAGCCCCAAGAAGGGGAAGGTCCAGGAGTCTCAGCCTCCAGCAGAAACAGTCGAGGCAAGGCTTCTGAACACAACCAGTCACCACGGGTCAAAGTGTGACCATGTCGCTCAAGTGCCCATCATGGAAGGTTCGCAAATGGGGGGTACAGGAGGAACCAGTGGGGTAACTCCTGCCAAACAGCAGGCAGGCAAATGACATGAGCAGTCACATGGGCAATATTTTCGTTTACGTTCCCATGCCAGTCTAGCTACCAAATAAAGTTCACCATGTAAGAAGTGAAAGGTGAAGTGGGCCAGGATAGTAAAAGTCCTCTTATCGCTGTAGTCCTTTAAATTCATCTTCTTTTCTTTTATTTCTTTAAATTTTTGTAAGCATTTTTAAATTTATTTTTGAAAGACAGAGAAAGATAGAGCGTGGGCAGGGGAGGGGCAGAGAGAGAGGGAGACACAGGATCCGAAGCAGGCTCCAGGCCCCGAGCTGTCAGCAGAGAGCCCGACGTGGGGCTCGAACCCAGGAACCGTGAGATCATGACCTGAGCTGAAGCTGGAGGCTTAACCAACTGACCCACCCAGGCGCCCCCATCTTCTTTTCTGATTAGGGACCTTTTGAGAATCTGGTGAGAGCCACGGACCTTCTCCTTACGTCTCTTCACGACCACACAAATGCACATGCATATATAACGTGCACATGTGCACACCAGGCCCAGGTTTCAAACCCTACCTTGTAGTTTATGAGACGTAGGCCAAGTAAGAATCACAAATACAAAAAACAACAACAACAACAACAAACAAGAAAATGACCAGCAAGAGAAAGAAAATGCATTTGAAGTTCTTCCTATCAAGGAGGAAACATTCTGACCACACATGGAAAAGAAACATCTCGTTTCCGTACTTCTTAATATCCTTGCAAATCATCCACTCGATATCGGGAAGAGGTGTCCCTTCTGCTGTGCATCTCACAGTCTGTCCCCCGGTGGAGCCATGGTGGTCGTCGACCAAGTCCAGAATAGACGAGGGAACTGCAAGAAGGGAAAAGAAATCAGAACGGGATGGCCTGTGTCCCAGAACTCCCGTGAAACACAAGTTCAGAACTTGTCCACGTGGCACTTGAACCTACAGAGCAAGTAACCGCCCAAGAAGGGGCTGAAATAATGCTCCAGTTCAGGCAGACCCACTTGGTTAAGAGCATTTTCACAGTTTCAGTGTTTGGGGATTTGTACCCTGTGGTGTCTGAAATCTGGAGTGAGGAAAGCAAAAAGCCCCTGTGGTTATTTGGCTTAAAAGGCAAAGAGGGCTCTTAAAATTGTATTACAGCTTGGGGTTCGACTAATGGATTCAGCTAGAGTATAATCTAAAGCAGCATCTACCAAAGTGCCTCTGTGGAATGCGACTACGTTTTAAAGATTAAAAAAAAATTTTTTTTTAATGTTTATTTATTTCTGAGACAGAGAGACACAGAGCATGAGTGCGGGAGGGGCAGAGAGAGAGGGAGACACAGAATCCGAAGCAGGTTCCAGGCTCTGAGCTGTCAGCACAGAGCCCGACACGGGGCTCGAACTCACAGACCGTGAGATCATGACCTGAGCCGAAGTCGGTCGCTCAACTGACTAAACCACCCAGGCGCCCCTAAAAGACTTTTTTTAATCCATGATCAAATAATTAGACTTTTTTTAAGATTGTATTTTTAAGTAATCTCTACACCCAATGTGGGGCTCAAGTCCATGACCCCAAGATCAAGAGCTGCATGCTCTACTAATGGAACCAGCCAGGCACGCCCCTGTGGTCAAACAAACTAGAAATATGCTAACACCTCATCACAGATTTACTGCGAGGGTTAACTGAGCCCACCTAAGACAGTCCCTGGCACACGGTAGGCACCTAAGTAAACAGGTGCTGAGCCTGAACGTAAACAGACTCAGGCACTCCCTCCTGCTAAGGGCTATTGTCCAATATCTTCAAGGGAAGCTAAGCAAAAAGGCTAAAAGTCTCCGGAACAATCTAAAGATCATCTGGACAAAAAAAAAAAAAAAAAAAAAAAAAAAAAAAAAAGCATCATTTTCCTCTTCCCAGAACTGGAGGTGCCAGACTGAGAAGCAGGTGGTGTTGTAACCTAGGAATTCCCCAGTCAGGGTGCTTCAGAGCAGAGCCGGGAACTTCCCAGAACTGCGTGAATTCATTAAGCCCAACAAAGCTTTCCCTGACACGTGACATCTACACCCCCTGCTTCTCCCATGAAGTGTTGCTTTTCTCTCCACGACCTGGGCGAATAGTGCCAAACCCTCCCTGGGGGACACCCGTGCACTTATTCCCTGAGCTGACATTACCTTTGTACTGCCCTTACACACCTTGCGTTAAGAGTTCGAAAGTATAGCTCTTCACGTCGTCTTCATTTTGGACGACAATAGTGTAATGGCCACTGTCTTCTTCCTTCGCACGGATCAGCTTTAATTTGCTTCGATACCTGACAAGAAAAGTACTCTGTCTCAGCAGGTCGTAGCCAAATAGATTCCAGCCATTCAAGCAGTTACCACGTTCAATTTAAATTTTGTTTTTGTAAAAAAAAAAAAGGAAAAACAACTTATTTTCTTGACCACATCATCACTTTTCTGGGATTTTCGGTGCGCTTTCTACGTGTTGAAGGTCTGACTTATAGACACTTAATTTTTTTTTTTTTTTTTT